AAAAAAGTTCGATAGGAAAAACCAAACATCAATACATTTTTTTGTGCCAGTTTCGGCTTAATCATGCTCAATAAATAGACTAACAACTTTAACCCACATAAGTTAACATCATTTCTATCTGGGTTGAGTACCCACGCTATGCACATTTGATAACATCCATTACATAGCAGAGTTATACTCTTTCTCTCACTTCCTTATAAGCTTCGCTTACAAGCACAAAATTCTGTAGTTGTTCCCTTTTGCCCGCCGCAGACGGGGACCAGTTTTCGCAAGCAGGAATTGCATAAGTTAGTTCAAAGTGAGGCGCTAGCTTGTTTTCCAAAGCTAAGAAGAGGAGAAGACTTTACGCCAAAGATGGTAATCGACAGTTCTCGCACTGAGTTTTTGCAGCATTGATTAGGAGCTACGGTGCAGATCCTATCAAAAACCATTTTTGTGACCTAAGATTGTGATTTACAGTAAACCTATGAATTACAACACCTCCCTAGTACTCTAAATTAGTTCTTATCACAGAAAGGAAAATTTCAAGGAAATTTGCAAGAATACTAGTTAGTGTTAATTGAAATTTATACTGCGCACCACTTCATCACCATTATGTCGTTTTTCTTCCTTAGAATGCAGATCATCAACATCGACTCTGAGAATGCTTTTAGTTTTCCTAACTGAGACGTAGTGCCATTGCTCATCCGAAGCTGATGCAAGCTCCAGGGATGCCTAAGAAAAGAAAATATTAGACCTTGACATTTATAAGTTTAAACTTAAACGAAAAGCGTTGTAAAAAATTCAGGAAAAAAGTTTAGAAGCTCAAAAAATTTTCTACCCTGTCATCTCCAGCAAACGCAACCAAAACTCCGTTCTCAATTTTCAGTGCCAACAAATCGTCTTCCTCTGATTGTATGGTCATTAAGGTTCCAACTGCCCTACGAGTCTTAAATCTCAGCGATACATCCATCTCGTCTGCAGCGGTGATGTTTTCAAAAACTGCTGATGATCGATCTGAGAGAATAGAAACCTGCAAGCAAATCGTTTTGATAACGCCAAACCTATTACAAACTAGGATAAATCAAAATCCTACCGTATTCACAGTTCCAAGAGGACAGGCGTTGCGAACACCTTTGCTGGCATGACTTGCGTAGAGATTGATCTCATCACCTCCCAGGCGTACTGCCTTAATGCAGCCACGGAATGGTTCAATGGGAGTGCGGCTGCAATCAATCGATATATTGATTTTTTGGCCCTGAAAATAAGCGGTACTTACGTATTTACTCCAGCCGGTGTTCCTCCTATGTAAAAGTAGTCAGTGACGCTAAGAGAAGCGCTATCTTCTGGTGCATCCCCTTCGGCAACCTAGAAGCAAAAAGTGTTTGTTAAACAAAATGATTCCAAATCTTCTTGAAAACTAGCGACGGTCCAACCATGAAGATGGATTATCAATCGCAGCTCAACGGCATACAACTTTGAAAAATTTGAACACACCGTTTCTCCATCTACATCCATCTTCACATGACGTTCATCTCTCATAACCGATATCGTGTGCCACTTGCCATCGTTGTAAGCTACCGTATCAGCCAACCACTGTGCTGCTCCGGAACCAAAGTCCAGTGATAGCTTTACAGCTCCAGCAGAAAGCTCTATGGCAAAGAAGTCGCGCTAAATTAATATCCTCGAGTTGAGCACTAACTCGTTAACCTTACGAAAGTGGACAAGACTTACGTCCTTTCCAATGAAGAATAGCAGCCCATCAGGTGAGAATGTTAAGAACTGTAGGGAGATCACAGCTCGCTTTCTGGGATTCCAGTAGCCCATCTGGTAAACGAGATAGCCTTCGCCATCCACAGACACTCCTTAGATCAATAATATTAAATTATGTTCCAAACCCTTGAGAGGAGATTAGAGATTTGATGGAAAGGCTTGTTCTTACCTGGCTGAGCCAGCAATTCCTTTGTACGAGGTCTAGGTGTAGCACCCTTGACCGCTACGACTCCTCCAGACTTCGCATTCCACAGGCCTACGGGTTCACCATGCAAAGTCAAATCTTCAATATCTCCCTCAAAGTCGCGATTGCGCACTTCATTGGCGATCTATAAAGAAATTTGAAATCTACTAAAGAGGCAGCCACAACACGGGGCTTACCTTGCTTCCCGGTGGTATTCCTCCTACAAACAGGCGACTCATGGTTTGATGCAAGTTTAAAATGCTCTTATTTCCTTCCGAACTAGCCCTTTTTTCTTCCTCTACCTATACAAGCCTTTTATAACCATCGAACCAGAGAAGGATAATACCCAATTACCTGATCGCTATTTGGCGCATATAATTTCACAATTGCTACTTTTCCTATTCGTTCAACATTCAATTGACGCCACTGATTGTCAGAAACTCGCCTAAAGGCATTTAGAATTTTCATCATTTAATGATTATAAATTTCTCTAGGAAACTAGAAACTCACGTATTCAATAAGACAACAATGGGTTCTTCGCCCAAGTTGATGGTAATCTTTGGTCTGCCATGCTCAATTTCTACAGCTATGTAGTCGTCAGTGGGTACAGCGCGGGTGCCAGCAGAACCTTCTTCGTTTCCAAAGAAAAGTGGAATCCCTAAATTGCTAACTTTTATTTTTCAAAGTACACACATTCATTACTATTAGTGTATATACTTACAAAGATGTGCGTAAAATATTGATGAAATTATAATTAAATTTGGATTTAACATTGCCACGTTGGACATTGGTTTTCTGAACTGGACACAAACAACGCACCCACGCTCCATGGCACAATTCAACTCAGCCGAATTGAAACACGTTTAATTTCTGGGATCAAAAGCAAAATTTCGCATGGGTATCAAAGCAATAAGGATATTTGGCTTCGACCGCGCGTATTTTAGCTCGCTGCCATGATTTTCTAGTTTATGAAGAACGAGAACGACTGACCATGATCCTTATCCGTGCGGAAGTGGAATGAGATATCAGTATGTGCTGCCGATTTGGCTACCTTTTGTGGCATAGCCAAATCTAAAGAGCTTCCTTTCTCAAAATGTGCTCCAAGTTTGATCTAAAATAAAACGCCAATATAGATCTTTCTAGAAATCTTTCTTGCTAAAGGAGCTTCTAAAAGCGGAAAAAGCTTGACTCACCCTATTAGCTGCATCTCTTGCCACAGCAATTAACTCTTTAATAGAAACAAGCTTGTCATTGCATGCTTCAACCTTTGCTGAGCGATTTCCAGCAGAGTAGCGCATTTTGTCATATGAGTTTAGAAGATTTGGAACTAGAGTAGAGAGCTGAAAAAAAGGATAATGTTGGACCTTAGGATTAGAATTGTTGCATATACCTCTTTAACGTTGCTTCTGGTTGTTTTAATGCCTTGAAGCGCTTCGGTCGCTTCGGACACTGCAGCATCCGTAGCTGTTTTCAGCTCAGCAATTTGATCTCTTGAAATGTTGAGCATCTGAACGATGAAGGGAGGTTTACCCGGCCTTTATTAAGTTGCATAGGGGTAAATGGGTGAATGTTAACCTTTGCTGAATCGACAAGTAAGCTGTTCACATGATCAGCTGATTTCTCTACGTCAGCAAATGCTGATTCGTTTAAGGGGGATTTGAGCGATGTTCGCATAAATTCCAGATTTCGGCGCATTCCATCCACCGCTGTAGAAACCTAAAACAGTCTTTTTAGAAATACTCCTACAGATATGTAATCTTATCAATTACCCTTTCAATCTTTTTATCCATGTCTTCAACTTCCTTCCTCAGACTGTTCAAAGTGTTCTGTTGCAGATCTGATGTTTGACGCAGCAATACAGCTGATTGATTCAAGGCAGTCTTCACATCTTCATTCTGAAGCTTGTATTCATCAAGATCTCTAATTTGCGTAGCAAAAATTGGCAATTGCTGACATTTTCTTCAAGTCCATCTTTGAGATTAGCCATTTCGTCAATAATCCACTGAGATTTCTCACGGGCAGTCTTTAGAGATTCCGTAATGTTGGCATACGCAGAGGCAGCTTCCACAGCATTCTGGAGAGATATAGCAAACAGATGGGGTTTTAGGACAAGGCACATACATATGTAAAATAGCGAAAAGCCATAAAGGGTACAAACCTGAGACTCGAGCCGGGTACTGCCGAATGTCTCGTTAAGCCGATTTGCTTCGGACTCCAACTCTCCCAATTTTACATTGATTGAAGCCTTGAAGTGAAGATGGTAATAATGAATTGTAGATGTCTTTCTCAAAGTCTAGGATCGAATTTTATAAGCCATACCTTATCAAACGGTGTCGCCCTCTTACTTCTCTTTGTTTCAGTTGCTTCGGCAAGTTCCGCTCGAATTTCAGCAATACTTGCCATCGAATTGCCTATAGCCTCACGTGAATCCTTCGCTTGTTCCGTAAGATTTTTTACCTAAAATTTGAAAAGAATCAATAGTGGAGGATCACTTCGTGTTATGAACCAGCTTGCCTCCAAAAGAGTCTCGCTAACCATCCGATGGTCATCAACTGCTTTTTCACGTCCGTCTGATAAAGCTTTGATTAGTCCTTCCAATTTCATAGTAGACAGTCCACTAACTGCCTAAAACTTCTTAGATTGAAAATTCCAAAGTTACCTGGACTAGGTAAGAACAGGTTCTACTCACCTTACGCGAATCTTCGGCATTCTTACGGGATTCTCTGAGCAAATGTTGAGCATCACTGAGGTAGTTAGAAACTTTTTCATTCTAAATTACTCTCACATTGATATAATGAGTGCTTCTACTTTTTTTCCTTATTCCACTTATGATTTGCTGCCGATATCACCGCCAGATGTTCTAGTTTTACCTTCTTCTTCGTTTCCTCAATCTTTTCCTCAAGCTCGCCAACTTTATCGCTGCGTTCCTTGAGCTTCTCTTGTAAAGCTTGAACAGTTGCCGAGACATTAGTAGCCTGCTTTGGTGTACCATCTCTGAAAACTCACTTCCAGACATTTCAAACCTCTTGCCTACCGATAGGATATACTAATTTGCCACACTTACGCAGTCACCACTTCCAGGTTACTTAATGTCTCTTCCGCATCTTTCATCCACCTCGGATCAATTACCAAAGCGGAAGATGTACTTCCAAGCGAAGTAACAAGATTTTTTGTCAGATCCACAACACCAAATGCATCCTGAAAA